GAACCGAATGATTCACCTCATTTCCCTAACCAACAAGAACTTGATGACTTAGTACGTGATTTAGGTCTCACTAAATTAAATGCAGAACTTCTGACATCACGTTTGAAAGAATGGAATTTATTAGATCCAAGCTGCAGAACCTCGAAATACCGAAAAAGACATGAAACATTCGCATACTTTTATGTAGTATCAGAATCACTGTGCTATTGTCATGACGTTCGTGGTCTTTTCAATGACATTGGCATTGTTCACAATCCTGAAGAGTGGAGATTATTCATTGACAGCTCAACAAGAAGTCTAAAGGCAGTTTTGCTCCATAACGGAAACCAATTTCCTTCGATTCCAGTAGCTCATTCCGTTCATCTAAAGGAAGACTATAAGAACGTGAAGTTGTTGCTTGAGAAAATCAACTACGACAGTTACAAGTGGGATGTATGTGGAGACTTTAAGATGCTAGCATTTCTTCTCGGTCTGCAAGGAGGATACACAAAGTACTCGTGTTTTCTTTGTTTATGGGATAGCAGGGCTGCAAACCAGCACTTCACAAGACGTGAGTGGCCAGTGAGAGAACATTTACAGCCTGGTTCGCACAATGTTATTAATCAATCTCTGATACCTGTTGAAAAGATCTTACTACCACCCCTTCACATTAAACTTGGTCTTATCAAACAATTTGTCAAAGCATTAAACCCAGATAGTGCAGCATTCCAGCATATTCAGCAGATGTTTCCAAAGGTGTCAGATGCAAAAATTTCAGCAGGTATATTCGTTGGTCCACAGATTAAAGTTATGTTGGCATGTAAGGAGCTTGAGGACAAAATGTCTGCTGTTGAAAAAGAAGCATGGACTGCATTTAGACATGTTGTTCATAGCTTTTTAGGCAACAATAAGAGTGATAACTACAAAGAGATAGTGGAAAACTTAATTGTACGGTACGCAGATATGAAATGCAGAATGTCAATAAAGCTGCATTACCTGCATTCACACTTGGAATTTTTCAGACCAAATTTGGGTGATGTGAGTGAAGAGCACGGGGAACGTTTCCATCAGGATATTCTTGCAATGGAGAAAAGATACCAGGGCAGATGGGATGCAGCTATGATGGGTGACTACATCTGGTGTTTGATATGCGATGACGAGAAACTTCATAAAAGAAAAACCTCGTTCTACTGTTCACTTTTAGTGTTTTTTGAGATTGTGAGAGACTGTTACGATACAATATAATGTAACATTATGTAATATATGTAAGAAACATGATGTAACATGAAGTTTTGTAACATAACATAACACTTTTGAATTAGTAAATGTTTTATATTGACTAAAGTAGAATCTAATGCAAAACGATTTATATTAATTATATGTTTAATTGATTTTTTGGTTTTACAACCAAACGATTGATGCAATAAAAAATCCAATGTCATATTCAGACTCAGCATACTCAAATTAATTAAGAAACATCAAAAAATTTTGATAAACAGAAAGTTTTTTTTTTTTTGTTACATTGTGTTATTTTTACTCACAACATTTTGTAAGTTGAGTGTTTTTTTTTTTTTAGAGTGTATGTTTTTCTTTTTACATTTAACGCAGTACATTTTTATATATACAAATATTTATTTTATATCATTTTTTGTGAATTTAATATTTTTTAAAAATGAGTTAAAATAATTTTCTTGCTTATATAAAAAATGCTATATGTAGATATTGAAAATTTTGATGAGGCAAAATTATGTGCTGGTGAAGTCATTAATTTTTATAAGCCTGTTCATTATCAAAAAACAAGAATTGGTTATAAAGGTAAAACATTTTTATCAGTAGAAACACCAAAATTATTTTCATACGGAGTTTGTGGAAATAGAGATCCAAAAACGAATAAACTGACTGGATATTCCACTTGTATGTTTTAATGAGATGAAAGGAAAGACTGAAGAAGAAGAAAAATTTATTACAATGATTCAATCTATTGAGAAATTTTGTAGAGATAAAGTCAAAGAAAAACAATTAAAAGTGAAAAATTTTAATACTGACAACTTAAAAATTCTAAAATATAATGATAATAAACCTCCTGTCAAATTTGCAAAAATACCAACAGAAGATCTGAAGATGGATAATGTATTCAGATCTGCAGATGATAATGAAATTTCAGGACATAATCTCATTAAAAAAAGATGTTATATTAAAGGGTAATTAAGAATTGAAGGTTTTTATATAGGCTCAACGATTCAATCTATACAAGTAAGATGCAGTTATTTATGAAAAATAAAGTAAATTATAAAATGATTTAAAATAATATAATTAATAGTTATTATAAATATAAAGTATGGATATTGAAGTACATAACAATAAATCAAATATCACTACAATTCAATTTGATCCTATTATTGAACTTGATAAAACAAAAAAATACGAAATAGCAATTATAAGATTAGAAACTATTCACTACAGCGTTTTATCTCAAAAAAAGTGTTTGCATATATTAAATAATATTGTATATGGAAAAAATATAAATGGTAAGAAAACTATTGTAATACATACATTCTTACCAATGACTCGTTCTTCAGGTATGAGCCTTGTTGAAGAACCAAATTTTAAAAGTTATTTTCCATTAAGAACAAACACACTTTTAAAAATGACAGTTGAAATAGTGGATGATGATCGTCATGCTATAGATATGAGTAAAGAAAGATTAATAATACAATTTCATCTAAGAGAAGTAAAGCAGTAAAGTTAATTAACTTTTGTTGTATTTGAAAATGATATAAAAAAATAAATATGCAAATATAAAATGAAGATATGTGTTGAAGGAAAAGGTACAGTTTTAAATAGTACGCTTGGTAAAACTATTGAACTTGATGATGAAAAAGAGTATGAAATGGGTTTACTTGGATTAGATACATTTAATAGTTTTCCAAATGTGTCTTCTTTAAATAATAAATTTAGATTTAGTACAGATGATGGTGGTAATTGGGTATATTTCACTTTTACTCCAGGAGCATATGAAATTGCATCTTTATCTAAATATTTAGATGATCACCAACTACATCCTAGCACTTTATCTGGTACGATTACATTTACATCAGAAGTTGCTATAATGAGAACAAATATGACTCTTGCGAAAAGGTTTCAAGTTGATTTTACAATTCCAAATTCAATTAGAAGTCTTTTAGGTTTAGAGAGTAAAATATATTATGGGGGTAGTAATATATCGGAAAATATAACTAATTTATTAATACTATACATGTCACAAATGATCTTGTAGAAGCTACAGTTTTAAATAATAAAGTTATAAATATTATACATTCATTTTATCCGAAAGTAGGTATTGGATTAAATATTACAGAAAAAATAGATAATCCACGTTATTCAAAAATGACATCTAAATCATTTGTAAATATGACAACTACATTGGTCGATCAGGATGGTCATCTCCTTGATTTAAAAGGAGAAAATTTATCTGTTAAGTATCATATTAGAGAACGTGTTAATTATGGTGACATTTTAAGGATTTTGAGAGAATTGAATATACACTTAATGAATTGTTAAACATTTTTAAAAATTTTTTCATTAGATAGAATTTAAAGATCATGATTATGCAGATCCGTAGGATCCAGATTAGCAAAGCTAATTAAATGAATTACTACTTATGAATCTCTGAAAGAGATTTAAAAAATTACTGCATATATAAAATGACAATGTATTATGATACTCTTATAAATCTTTCAGAAGGTCAAAAAAAATAAATTAGAAAAACTATTGAGTTTGGGTCTAAAGCTGTTATAAAACTACCACATCAAGATCTAAATGGTGAACATGAAATAGCTTTAACAGATTCACAAAGAAATAGAATGAAAGCAGCATATCTAAAAGGTACTGGTATAACACTTACACTAAGTACAGCACAACTTAAACATAACGCTAAAGTAAATGGAGGGTTTTTACCTTAGCTAGGATTAGTTGGAAGTTTTTTAGCTTCAAAAGTTATCCCAACTATTGCTACAGGATTAGTGAATGGAACAGCCGCAGCTGTTGGAAGTACTATAGTTAATAAAATTGCTGGAAATAGCATTGTTTACATGAAAAAGAATTTTCTAGATATAAATATACATTAAAAAATATATATATTTTTTATGAAAATGCATAAGTTGGTATATAAATATTATCTAATCCACTTCTGTATTTTCCATTATCTCTTTTGGAAGATAAATCTATAACAGCAAATCCATGTGGTTCAGACCAAGCTTTTTTACAAAAATCTTTAAACTCATTTTTAGGCATATCACTTAAAACATGATCTTTATAAAAGTGATTTAAATTCTTTGCATCTTGTGGAAACAAGCATATAAAATTTGCATTTTCTTTTATAGTTCTCCTAGGCAACTCAAAATAGTTCTGTGCAAGATAGAAACAATCTACATTACTATGTCTTCCTCTTATATAGTATTTTTCACACTTGTTTTGTTTTGTTAATTGCAAATCATCAAATATCATTAAATTATTCTTGCCACTATCAAAATTTTCTGGTTCCGGGACATCATCTGCTGTTTCAAAAAACTTGCATTCAATATCTGTTTTATTTTTTAAATTTTTTGTAATATCTTCAATAATAAACTCTGGACTCGCATTTAATTTTTCTATTTGATGTTGTAACTTAAATACTTTAAGAATAACTTCTTTTAATACTTTTTTTTCTAAAGAACTTTTTAATATTTTGTATTCTGGTTGAAAAAGAGATTTTCCAAAACCTTGTAAATTATTATAGTCTAACCAACTAGGTCTTAAAAGTAAGATTAATAATAAAGTTGTTTTTCCACAACCTGACTTTTCTACAATAATTCCTCTTACACTTTTAGGTAATAAGTTATTATTATTACGTTTACTTTTATTTACATTCCATGATAAATCTATAATATCCATTTTTATGATAAGGGTAAGATGTCGTAAAATCACCAAAAGTAAGCATTTCAAGCGCAATGAGACTTAATCGATTTTTATATTTTATATTATAGTACATAGTCTATGTAAAACAGTAAGTAATAAATAAGTAATAAATCAAATTAGTCTTTTTATTTTAAAGTCTTACAATATAGGTTATATATATAAATTTATATTCAATCTACATCTATACTTTATGTTTTAAAATATAGCTAAAACTATTGCTTATAAATATTAAAAGTTACATGATTTTATACCTAGATCTATATTAGAAATTATAAAGTAATATAAAGTATTATATTATAGAGTATACTATACTTTATATTATATAATATATTATATTTATATCTATGTTTATAATTTATATCTATATCTATACTTATATATTATATCTATATCTATACTAAGTATAGATTACTATATATTATATCTATTTCTATACTTAGTATAGATATAGATATAAAGTATAGATATACATATAGGTTCAATATATATTTATAAGACTCAAAATTAAAAATACTAATTTGATTTTATGTTAAACATATATAACTTGAGCAATATTGTTACAGTTATGTAACAATGTTATAACCATATTAGTATAACATTGTTCTTGGTATATTAAAAGTTACATGGCTAGTCGTATAAATTTTAATATAACAAGAACAAAGTTATACTAATATGAAGTTATATATATATATATATATATATATATATATATATATATATATATATATATATATATATATATATATATATATATATATATATATATATATATATATATATATATATATATATATATATATATATATATATAAACACACACACACTCATATTATATGCATTTTTAAATATGTACTAGCTTTAGTAAATAAAACAATTTATGTAAGTTTCAATAGTGAGCTTAAGGACAAAACGACAAAAAATAATAGCTGATGTTGAATATTGCCTAAAAGATTAAGTCCTCCTTTACTTGCCATAGCTATTATCTACAAAAAACATAGAAAAAACATCAGTAATATATATTATATATTACTGATGTTTTTCCTATGATTTTTTTAGATAATAGTTGTGGCAAGTAAAGGAGGCTGTCTGGAGAATGTCCATTGCATTATTCACTAATAACCTCTGCTGTAAACTTAACTGGTCTGGTATTACCAGAAATGAAAATTAAAGTAACTTTGTAAAACAAAGTCTAAAAGACTTACACTTTACACTCTAATTTAATAATTACTTTTGTCTAATTTATTAATTACTAATCTATTTGTTAATAAATAGTTGATAAATAAATACAATTTATTTATTAACTATATATAAATATAAGTTTATAAATAGATAAAATTTTTTAATAAATAGCTTTAAAAAAAATTCTCTATATTTCTGAATTTATGTTAAAAAATATATTTTTTGTTTTCCTGCTAGATAGTTAAATAAAAGTCTTAAATTAATTTTTAGGAGCTGTAAAAAGAAATCCTGCAACAACTTTAGCAACTGAATCAGATTTTCAATATGAGGTTGTGCGTTTTTTGCGTGGTGCATCAGACCGCAATGGCGGACAAAAAGTTAAACAAGACCAAAAAACAAACAAGCCAAGAAAAAAGTGATGCCTTCATCAAGTTTTCCAATGCCATTAAATAAAGAGACATTTTTTAGTTCAGAAGATGAATAACATTGTTAAATAAAATAAGCATCTTTATTTACAAGTTTGTTATCTTTATTTTACAATATTTAATATATTTTTAAATATTTTAATTTTTAAACTCAATAGAGTAAAGTTTTTGTGCAATGAGTATTACTGTTTCCATGTTTTTCATATTCATTCCCTTTTACAGTAACCTCTTGTATATGAGATTGTAGATGAGAATTTAAATCGTGATATCGAATCTTACCAGAGAATAAAGTAAGATTTGATATTATTTGTTTTAATTTTATTTTTGAAAAAAAAAACAAAATATAAGTTCTGGAATCTGTCTACTGTTTGATTTGTTTGATTATATTAAATTAAGATATAACTATAAGCTTTAAAATATAAAAATCTAACAAAATTTTTATTTTACAAGCCATTATATAAAGGATTGTTTTAAGAATTCCGTTCAAACATGCTTGTTATTTTATGTTACATTTATGATTTAATACTATTTCTTTACAGGAAACCGTTTACCTCAACCAGGGTTATATTACATAAAATTATGTTGACCGTGATCCAAATATTGCCATGGGTATAAGATAGTTGTTTGATTTGCAAACTGGATTTAAATCATATTTTCTTTAAACATATTTATTTGCTCTCTATATGCTTACAAATAATTTATTTAAAAAAATTATAAACTTATTTACTAAACCGTTTTATTTCAATCAATTATTTGACTTTTTAAATTTTTCAAGGAATTTTTATAGTATATTATATTGCATAGTATATTATGTTTTTTTTTTTTTTTTTTTTTTTTTTGTATGGTGAAAACTATATAAATGTGCAAACTATATTTTAGTTTATCAAAATATATTTTTATTGATGTGTTCTGTCTCTGATTCTTTCTTTTTCAGATGTGCACTTGTGTCTAAGGCTTATGCTTTGCAAAAGGTTTACCATTGTACTTTAGTTGCTGTGGTTTTTACGGTTTTACTTCCAACCTGGCATATAAGTATCTCTTTTTTAAATACTATTTTATTTGTTAAATTAAAATTAAAATTAAAGATAATTTTTTTAATGAAATAACAATTTTTATTGTTCATAAACCCCTCAAGCATATTTATAGGATTAGGTATACCAGGTAGGTTACTGTATATGAAGTTTTATTTTTTAAAAAAGGCACGCAATATGACTTTATTTTTATATAGCTTTTTTTTTAAAGTTATTTCCTTAGCTTTTCAATTTAAGCAATGTTTTTGTTGTTTTTAATGTTTTAAATGCAGATGCACTTAGTATCTGAAGTTATTTGTCAATAACTGGTGATCAGACAATTTTAAACAAACACGTTTTTAAGGGCTGAGAAGGTTAGTTTATTATCTTTGTTGTAAAACCTCTAAACTTGACTGTTTCAATGTTTTCATTATATATCATTGCCTGCTTTTAGGTGAAAGTTAGAAGACTGCAACGTAAATTAATTTTCAACACACGATTTCCTGAATAAACTTAGTTTTCGATTGAAATGAGAATAAACTGAACTTATGAAAACTAACTATTTTATATTTTAAACATTCGCTAAACGCAAGTGAAGCAATAATCTATAGAAGCAAATATACTTTATATTATTGCTTTAGTTTAAAAAAAAATTATTGTTACTTTTATATTCATGTTGTAATTGTAAATTGCAAATTTAAAATGATTTTTATTATAACTTCTGATTAGTCTTTTTGTTCACCGAGCTTAAGCCTTGCCATGTATGACCTAATGATTTACAGTTGGGGTAGTGTTTTTCGGTGGTAAGAGAACTTTAGTATAATAAATTCGTGTTTTTTCTATATACCTATGCACTAAGTCAAAAGGTATTTGATGTGTCTTCGAGGCATTGGCAGGATTTGCATTTTTTTATGAGTAAAAATTTTAGCTGAAAGATATAAATACTTTTGCTAACGATAGGTGCGTTCTATTCAAACAAAAAAACAAAAATAATTATATTTATAGCAATGCATTCAAATCTTAGTCAAAACTTATTATAGATCCTATGCAATAGGATCTATAATAAGTTTTGACTAAGCTATAGCTTTATCATCGGTTAGCCGCTGACGGACCGTTGTTCGAACGTTGTCGATTTGCCGCCATCAGTCCGCTCTCGAACCGTATTTAGTTTTCCGCTAACGGACCGATGTAAATAGGATGTGCAAGCCAACGCGGAAAAGCAGCGGGCGGCCGACGTCGGCACGCCATAAGTGCTGACAGCGGTCCGTTATCGTTTGATGTTTGCTGGGTCGTATCTCGTTTTGTTTCACAATAGAATTCCTTACATATTCAAGATGCAAATCTAGGCGAAGAATGTAAAGAAAACAAAATAGTGATCACACACAAATGTGATGAAAGTGATGAAGAGTTTTTTGATTTTTTTTTGGGAAAGTTTTTGATCCTCAACCCGCAAAGGTATATAATATATAATAAAATAAGGTATAACTGTGACAACTGTTTAAAACAGTTGCGAAGTGCAATAACATAAGTTTTGCACTGTAACTGCTCATTTTGTCTTTTGTTTATGTTTTAACAAATAGTTTCTGCTCCAGCTCTGTCTACTTTATTTTTGAAGTTATTTATTAAAGTATCTTCTATTATTTCAGATGGTAAGCTGTTCCACGCATTTATAACTCGATTTTAGAAAAAATGATACCTGAAGGTATTTTTGCTAAAAGGCTTCCTCATTTTGAATTTGTGTTGTCCCAGACATGGACCCTCCTCCAATGCATTTCCACAATCGTTAGCAACCCAATTTATTTATCGTGGCCATGCTGAATTTTGAACAAAATTTGTTGAACCAGATCTTCACGTAGTCTACGTTCTTCCAGTGACGTTAATTGCAAAATATTCAACCTAACCTCATATGATAATTCCTAATTGTAGGAGCTAGTTTGGTTGTTCTTTTTTGGATTTTCTTAATCTTGTCAATGTCTTGTTTTAAAAATGGAGACCATGCCTGGACTGCAAACTCAAGATGTGGACGTATGAACGTTGAAAAGAGCATTTTTACCATGTTTACATCTAAATATTTAAAGCTTCTCTTTATGGTACCTTACATTCTGTTTGCTTTGCTGGTTGCTGAATCTACTTGTGAGTGCCATTTTAAATCGGATTGAATCATTATACCCAAATCACGTTCAGCTTTTGTGTTACACAATGTATAATTGTAATTGCAATCAATATCAGTCATTATAAATGTAGCATTTGGATTTTTTTTCCCAATGTGCATAACTTTACATTTTTCAAAAATAAATTTTGTGAGCCAAATAGATGACTATGCCATTATCTTATTTATATCATATTGAAGGCTTATTGAATCATTAGGATTTTTTATGTATATTAATGTTTAAAATAAAAATGAATAAAATAGATTGTATTAAAAAATACGTTTAGAATCATAAGATAACAGTTTAGTGTTTAAGTTATGATATTTTACTATTTTGGTGGTTAAAGGTTTATTATTTATGTAACATATTTATTTAGAACCCAGATATAAAAGAAGTCCAAGAAGTAGATAATTGTATTGATGAGGTAATGTTATTTACATATAATATTTTATTATTTAGCTGGTTTTTATAATAAGTTTATTTGTTTAGGGTTCTATTATAAAAAAAAGGGAATCGTTTTAATAAAGTAACCAAGGTAACCTTTGCTATATTTATAAATAATGTGAGTTATTAAATTAAATTTTTTTTATTTACTTTTTATTATTTACATGTCAAAGGAATTTGTTTTCAAAAAGGTTTTTATTATTGATTTATTTTATTTTATTGATTAATGAAATGCACATTAAATAAAAATTAGTATAAAAAAAGTATTAAAATCATATTATTTACGCTTTCAATTTTAAAAGGTCATTGGATAATAAAAGACCATCTCGACTCTGCATAATTTTTAACCAAATGAAACAAAAGCTGACTAGACATTTGGAAAAAAACATGGGAAAGAACCTTGGGTTGTTGAGGCTATAAACCAGCTAAAGCTAGTTAATAATAAACTCTTTGCTCAAATAAGAAGAGAAGGAATACTAATGAATAACAATACTCAGGCATCCACTGATAACCCTAATTACTAACGTGAAAAAAATAGCAACAAACAAGAAATCCAACCATTCACTTTAAAAAAAACTCTTCTTGGCAGGTCAAACCACACAGTTGATCACACGATACAACTTCTTACTCAAAAAAGAAATAGAGTAACTTAGACTCAGCTTTAGGAACAAAACTATCATCAACTTATCAAATTACAAGCTATCGAAAACAGACCTAGACATGCTAGATAGAGGTCTGAAATTTATCACATCGCCACAAACAACATCAGAGAAAACATACCTGGCGCAACTAAATAAATTTAAGAGAAAAATTTATTGCAAACTCTATTTCTAAATCAACAAAAGCCACCCCATAATAGAAAAGAACAAAAATAACGCCCTCAAGCAACCGAATACCCTCTGGATGCCGCTAGAAACAAAAAACGTTAAACTCAAGAGATACTTTTCAATTGTCGAAATACTTACCACCCTAAGCAATACTTATCACCCTAAGATTATTCACACTTACTGCCGTTTCTATAATATATTGTTGAAACCATTGGTTAAGAGTGGAACATTACCAGAACAACGTAAATCCAAGTCAGCAAAAGATGAATGGGAGGTTCAATTATTGCCTCCTACTCATTAAATTTGCGGTCGTGCATAGGTCATATTCTTGTGCACTTAGAGACACACACAGTAGGCCAACTGATATAGGTACATCAGCAACCGCAATACAATAAGTCTCGCGTTCAAGACCATCATACAACCGTATTGAAGGACTCTGGTGTTATACTATATTAGGCAGAGATGGGTATTTTCACTTTCAGTTACAAGGTCGCAACTATTGCGATAGGACTAGCATGATATAAATCATGGGCATTAGGATCAATAACGATGATACGTCTTTGACGAATGACATTATGTTCTTGACACTAATGCTGCCCGAAACGTTATCTGTGACACATGCATGGTTCTGAGGAGGGCGTCACAGTTTAAACCACTACTTAATTTGAATTACACACAATTACTTAATTTGAAATACACACAAACACCAGAGTCCTGACTCGAATATACACCTTTATAAAGGCATACCAAAGCGCCCATGACTAAAGACCGCTTTTCCTATAACAGACACCTACTTAATGATATTTACTACTAGCGTATAGTATATAGTATATGTA